TAGAACTACGAATTTAGTACCAAATCAAATGAAATTCTCAAGAACACTTTAAAATTTCTATTTCTCAATTGGAGGTTCGAATCACGTCAAATCAACTCCGTTTTTCACCAAATTTCACAGATAAGTCTTAAATATCATAATGAACCTGTACCGGGCTCCGGAACCAAAATACGGACCCGATACTAACAATGCCAAATATCAATCAATTCTTAAAAACAAATAATTTCTAGACTTTTAATTTTCATTAAAAATTTATAACTCAAGTTAGGGACCTCCGAATTCAATTCCGGGCATACGCCCAGGTCCCATAATTCGATACGGACCTACCGGGACCGTCAAAATATGGATCCGGGCCCGTTTACCAAAAATGTTGACCGAAGTCAACTAAAATCAACTTTTAAGGCAAAAATTCTTATTTTTATTAGTTTTCAACATAAAAGCTCTCCGAAAACCTGCCCGGACTGCGCACGCAAATCGAGGAGGGTAAAAATGAGATTTTTAAGGCTTAAGAGCGCAAATTCGAATTCTAAAACTTAAGATGACCTTTTGGGTCATCACAATAGTCCATCATTAGTAACATTATCCGAGTCGCTCTCACGGTTCAGATCTTTCAGTCCCATGTTTTCTTTACATCCTTTAAAGAATTTTCTTGCTATCATTTGTTTGCAATACTTGTGTCATAGTTATGCGTTTATGTCTGATTTCTATGGAGATTATTGACTCCTTACCGTAACACTACCATTTCAGGGACCGGAAGAATTGTTTGAGACCATCTCGCAGGCCCTCATATCATCAGTAGACCGTGATTGTTTAAGTGGTTGGGGAGGACATGTTTATGTTGTGTAAGTGTTCAGATGCTCCGGATTTTGATTGCTTTCCTATAGAGTAAATGACTGCAGGAATCCCTGTGCTTAACAACTGCTATATAATGTTTAAAATCAAGTCCGTCATTTATTATGTTCAATGCCTCCTTGATTTGGCGAAAAAATATTCCATAAGTGAGGCATTGAGGGAAACGGTTTTTTTGCCAAATCAAGGACTTCTGATGTCAATTTTCATGCTTAAAACTACATTTTTAAATTCCGGTGGATCACTAAAGTTCCAAGCTAAAACATACCTTTATGCCTCTCGTTATCTCATTTGTTTCGATTGGTAATGGAGCCTGTGGGGTTAGTAATACTTCATGATATATTATGAGTTAAAGCGAGTTAATGTCTCTGTTCTCTGTATCTTATTTGTGGTTGCAGTACTCCAACTGAAGTGACAGAGAAGATCTTGAAGGGAAGGATGGACTAGACAACCTTTTTCGTTTAGATCCTCAATCCTGTACTTGTTCATTGCATTCCCTGGTAGACATTTATGCCGCCTTGTTTATGTTTGATGTTGTGTATTCAAGTTATTGACATTTGGCTGAACAATTAGTTCAAGTTATTAGTTAGTATCTAGTATGTTAAGTTTTATGTGATACGAATCCTTTATTTACCCCCATATACGTGTCAAATGAGTGACATGCGTATGGTATTTCATGAATTCTCAGTTAATATTAAAACTTCGCAGAAATGGCACGTATCAAATTTTATTATTCAACTTGAAAACATAATCTGTTGAGAATGGGTATAACAAAAATTCAAAAAACTTAAAAAGTAGATTCAGCCTACAAGGCTACAACAAGCAACTTATTATGTTAAAAAAATTAGCTGAAGCAAGTATTCAACAATGATTGGTTTGTATGTATTAACATTGGTTGAATAATATTTTTTTCCTCATCTACTGATCTACCTCTATGTATATCGGATACGTATTCATAGGTGGGTCCATATAACAAATCTTGGTTACATTTTTAATTAATGACTTGCTCAAACTATAACGTGTTATTAGAGCCTCTTGGGATGGTCAAGGATGTCGAATCCACTTGTGCAATAGGCTATGGCGTACACGATATGTAGTAGACTCGTGCAAATTGTGATGTCTTTTTTCATATATGTTATATCTACTATTTGTTATAGTTTTAGAGGTGTATCCGGCATTTAAACTTTATAAGTTCAATTTTTAAGATTTTTAATATTAAATTCGTTATATGTTTAAAATAATGAGTTCATATCTACTATTTGTTGATATGTTCGCAGCGTCAAAAATACTAAACAACACATACATATTTTCTGTCTAAAAATAACAATCAGCACGTGCACTTTTATTTACGTATATATAGGAAGATAAAGTACTTGAGGAAGGTTTTATTGCTCCCAAACAATAAACTATTTATTTGACGTCTACCTGTTGTCTATACGGCAAATACATTTTAGGCTGTCTTCATTGAATAGAACTTGAAAATTAACATAAAGAGATCATAATGTCTTAGATGCTAATCTTGACATTATAATCTCTCTCTATCTCTTGTGATGCTTAGATTATCTTGCATGTATTTCGACTATGCCGCAAGATTAACTATTATATCTCAACCGTTCACTAATAAATTGAAGTTTTATTAGAATTGAATAATTTATTTTTCAACTACTTTTTGAAAGAAATTAAGTTGAAATTTTAGTATTGTATAATATGTCTTTTTTGGTTTCCATTTTGAGACAAATAAAACGTGGAATAAGCAATTTAAGTTTCTCTCAGAGATTTATAGGTATAAAAGTTAAGACATTACTCCATTGTTTAGGATGTTATCTTATTTTATTATGAAAACCAACTCCAGAACTTTAATATCCCTTACCAAGGGAAAAACAAGATACATCGAAAGGAAGAAGATGTAGCCGTGGTTCCGAGTATTTTTTCCTGAGATAAGTGATGACAATACAATTAGCCAGACGTGATAAATAATTTAAAATGAAATTATAATAGTTTGAAACGTGCTCAGTGAAGAACACAAATTGTGCAGTCCTAAAGGGTCGGGATGAAGAACAACCCTTAAACAGATGTGCACTTACTTGACGAGGAGTAAGAATATGTAAGAGTATGTTTTATTGATAGAAAATGCTAAACTCTGATCGATATTACATTGAGTGCCTCTTTTCTGTATTTAACCTCCTAAACTTTCTAACTGATGCTAACTAACTAATGAGCTTACTGTTAACAACTCAACAGTCATAACCGACTACTAACTGCTTTCAATGAAAAGATTAATATGCCCTTAGACAATTACCTCTACAGATATAGCCTATAACAAATTTCCCCCAACGAAAGAGTCCTTGACCTCAAGGACTGAAATGAGGAAATTATTGAGATAGTGATTGAGCATCCATCCAGGTGCCGTCTTCTTCCGTACAGTTGATCCATTTGATCAAGACTTGATCAATCTACTTCCCTTTGGACTGTACTGATCTTCTGTCAAAAATAACTTCAGGCTCGAGTACAATGTGACCATTAGTAGACAATGACACTGGTAAGTCTGGAACAGCAGCCACATTCCCAATGTATTTCTTTAGCTGTGATACATGAAAGGTGTGGTGAATCTTGGCTTGAGGTGGGAGTTCCAATCGATAAGCAAATGTTCCCACCCTTTGTAAAACCTTGAATGGTCCAAAGTACTTAGGATCAGGGGCGGATTTATAAACTAAATAATGGGGCACGTGAACTTATGATTTTTTCGCCAAATTATGTATTTTATATATGTATTTTCTAGAATTGATCTAATATTATCTACTGGCACCCATGCTCCAAAAAGACTGAATGATGCACTTGGTTGAATACTGAATTGTTTACTCAAAGAAACATGAATCATTTTTCACGTAATATATTTATCTTCCTTTATTTAATGGTGCACTCATGTTCTAAAAGTCCTAGATCCGCCTCTGCTTAGGATTGAGCTTGTGATAAGAGTGCCCTTTCAAGGACATCTGCCTGTAGGGATGTAACTTGACAAAGACCAGATCTCCTTCCTCAAAGCCCCTGGGAGTCCTCTTCTTATCAGCTTGGGCTTTCATCCTACATTCTGCCAATTGCAGGTAGTTCTTGAGTAGCTTGATAGTAGATTCCCTCGCTTGCAAACTTCTATCTACTTGATCAACCATAGAATGATGAGCCATATAAGGCAAGTGAAGTGGTGGTTTCTGTCTATACACTGCCTCAAAAGGAGTCATTTTGATAGCAGTGTGATAGTTGGTGTTATACCACCATTCAACAAGGGATAGCCACTGGACCCATTCTTTTGGTCTTTCACTGCACATACATCTGAGGTAGTATTCTAAACATTTGTTCACAGCTTCTGTTTGTTCATCAAATCGGGGGTGGTATGCAGTGGAATGATGCAGCTGAACTCCTTGTTCTTCAAATAAAGCTTGCCAAAATTTACTCAAGAATATAACATCTCGATCACTAACTATAGTTTGAGGTAGGCCACGGAGTTTATAGACATTGTCTAGATAAGCTTGAGCCACCATAGAAGCTGTATAAGGGTGTACCAATGCAATAAAATGAGCATATTTGCTCAACCTGTCCACTACCACCAAGAACACAGATTTGTTATGTGCCCTTGGAAGACATTCTATAAAATTCAGAATATTTGCCATATCTTCTTAGGGATGGGAAGGGGCTGTAACAGTCCTGGGTATTTCACATTTTCACCTTTGCATTTTTGGCAAGTTTCGCATCTCCTGACATGTTTGTAGATGTCTTGCTTCATCTTTTTCCAATAATAGAGTTGACTAATTTTGAATAAAGTGGCAGCCACACCTGAATGACCCCCAACAACTGAGTTATGCAAGTATTGTAAGACTTTCTCCCTGAGATTAGGGTCAGAACCAGAAGTGATAGTATTCAACAGGATACCTTGACAAAGCATTAGTTGCTATGTTGTCTTTCCCCTTCTTGTAAAGGATAGTGTAGTTATACCCCATTAGCTTTGCCAGCCACTTTTGCTGGCTGGGAGTTGAAATTCTTTGTTATGATAGGTATTTGAGTCTATGATGGTATGTCTTAATGACAAAGTTTCTCCCAATTAGATAAGGCCTCCATTTGTCAATAGCAGTTACAATGGCCAATATCTCTTTTTCATAAACTGACAACGGTTGATGTTTTGGACTCAAAGCTTTGCTTATATAAGCTAATAGATGTTCAACTTGCATTAACACTGCTCCGATACCCACCCCATAAGCATTAGTCTCAATCACAAACTCAAGAGAGAAATTAGGTAATTCCAACACAAGAGTAATGCTCATGGCCTATTTCAGTTCCTGAAAATCTACTACAGCCTCTTTTGTCCACCCAAATTTGTCCCTTTTGAGTAAATCAGTTAGAGGTCTGGCTAATATCCCATACCCTTTGAAAAATCTTCTATAATAGTCAGTCAACCCCAAGAATCCTCTAAGTTCCTTAAGATTTTGTGGAGTAGGCCAGTCTCTCATTACGTGCACTTTGCTAGGATAAGTGGTTACTCCCTTCTGTATAATGATGTGACCTAGGTACTCTACCTTAGTCTTCCCAAAAGAACACTTACCGAGCTTTACAAACAGGCTGTGCTTTTGTAGGACATCAAAGGCTGCTTGTATATGAATTAAGTGTTCATGCCATGAAGGGCTATAAATGAGAATATCATCAAAGAACAATGGTATGAACTTCATTAGATATGGCTGAAAGATCTTGTTCATGAGACTTTGAAAGGTTGAGGGGGCATTAGTTAGGCAAAATGATATCACTACAAACTCATAATGGCTATTATGGGATCTAAAAGTTATCTTGTCAATCTCTTTCTCAGTCATCCTAATATGATGATAGCCTGATCTAAGGTCCACTTTTGAAAAGTATTTTGATCCCCCTAGTTCATCTAGCAATTCTTCTATAATAGGAATAGGAAATTTATCCTTCACTGTACAGTCATTTAGTTTTCTATAATCGATACAAAGTCTTCATGTACCACCCTTCCTTTTTACCATAACAATAGGAGAAGAGAATGAGCTTACACTAGGTCTGATGACACCAGATTTCAGCATCTCAGCAATTGTCTTCTCAATCTCATCTTTTTGGCTTGCAGGATATCTATATGGCCTCACATTGATGGGTGAAGCTCCTTCCTTCAGAATGATTTTATGGTCATGAGCTCTATGAGGTGGCAAGGCTGTTGGTGCCTCAAAGAGGGGTGCATACTGCTTGAGTACCTTATGCAAATCCTCTGAATCTTGCGCCTTTTGAGAATGTAATGCTATTCTTGCTTCTTGCACTGGACTTGTCTTCTGTGATGGCTGAATAAATACCATTGCCATCAAGTGAATTTGGCTAGGCTTGTTGAGCACCTTTTGCATTCTAACATCAACTACCAATTTAAATGCCCCAGGTTGACTTTCCCTCAAAGATAC